CTCCGAACGATGCCCTGCTCTTGCATCGCCAGCCACCGGAGCTGCGAGAAAGTCCCTTTCCGTCGCTTCAGGCCCAGCCTGTGGTGTTTGTGTTGGCGGTCAGAGCGGAGACGGCTCTGCCCGCGCGGGAGGAGAGGGGCCGGGGCGCCGCAGGGCATCCCCTGCCGCCCCTGGAAGGCGTGCTGCCCTTACCGGCACCCTGACTCCTCGCCTCGCCTGCTGTCCTTGTGCCGGGGGCCACGCTGCCTGGCAGAGACAGACCGCAGGCTCACGCGTCCTCGCAGGCCCCTGCCACCAGGGCCCCGGCCCCGATGTAGAAAGCCGCCATCGTGCCCACCACGACTCCCTGAAGTCCCCGCGGTCACCTCTGCTCAGGTGAGGAGCCAGAGGCCCGGGGGCGCTGCGTGACCTGCCTCGCCGCTTCTGCTGGGCGGAGGGCTGCGGCGGGACTCGAGCCGGGCAGCTTGGTGCCAGAGCCTCTGTGCAGCAGCCTGAGGCCCCTTTAACGTGGAGAGGGGAGGAGAGGGCGCCAGGGTGGACCTGAGTGGCCTTGTGTTTCCTTGGGCCCCCTGGGCAGGCACTGGGATGCTGCCGCCGCCGGGACTGCGGATAAAAAGCCGTGTGGCCTGCTGAGGCCACCGGCCCGCAGGCGCCCTGCCTGCCTCCCACCCTAGAAGCTCAGGGAGCCAACGGCCTGGCTCCTGTGTGTCCTGTGTCTGCGGGGAAAGGGGCGCGGCTGAGGGAGTGAGCCCAGGATGGCCGGCCCCCGCCCCCGCCCCAGAATTGTGGCAGTGGCGGGGTTAGCGAGGAGGGAGGTCTCCAGGGGCGCAGAGGAGGCTGGTTTCCAAGCTGCCCTCAACCTGGTGCCCTTTGTCCCCACAGCACATGTACGGAACCCGGGTAAAGAGGGGAGACCTCACGGCCCCCCGAGCACGGTCCCATGAAGAAGGAACCAAAGCGAGACCCAGGTTCAGCTTTCAAACAGCCTTGACGCGGACTGCAGGTCCTCGGTTTGCTCTTCACCAGACAGAGGGCGGTTCTGCTCATAGAAGGGGTGTCTTCAGGCACTTCTCTCTCACTGTCTCAGAGCTGCCACCCCCGCACGGTCCCCACGCACCCCACCTCCGTGCCTACCCCGCAAACACGCAGTCCCCGGGCGAGGAGCCTCTCGCTGCAGCCTGCACCGCGCGCCGTGCCGGGGACCGAGCAGATGGCTGGCGTGAGGCCCCCGAGCACGCGAATGGTCAGGGATGAGCAAGGCGCTTCCGGTCACACAGCTGGAAAGGGGTTGAGCCTGGCACTGGGACTTGTAGATGACCGCGCTGTCCCGCGGCCTTCGTGACTGGGAGGCGACGCCCCGCAGCTGTGACACGGCAGCAAGACCCAAACTGCAGTGAGCCATTGTCGCTTCGCTGGGTCACGTCGTGCGCCCTTCCCCCGTGTGCTGGGGCCTGGGGCGCGAGTTCACACTCGCACACGCCCACGCCCACAGGCACACGCGTGCACACGCCCTCCAGACTGAGGTCTCCTTGCTTCCCAATTTTGTGCTCTGCCTTTTCTAGTGAACTCTCTAGAGAGAAGATTCCCACGCACTTCCGTTTAGGAAACTGGGTTCTGCCATCTGGGTTTAATCAAGCCGGACGGTGTCCTGTGTGGGGGCGGGACTGCTTCCATCGCTGGCCCCGGGAACAGACCTCGGTGGCACCCTGCACACCAGGCCATCTGGTCGCCTCCAGTTATGTCCTTGGGGCGAATTCCTAGGAGGGACATTACGGAGAGCGAGCCACGTGGACTTTGGGGGCCCATTCCTAGCTTGTCCTCTGTGAGGTCAGCGGTGTCCCTGACGATGGGGAGGAAGCTGCCTCTCCAGGGCTTTGTCTTGGGCTCTTCCCAGGGAGGAACGACCCGGCCCGGCCGCAGCCCATGCTGCACCCGGCTGGCGTCCGGGCCCTCAGCCCCAGGTGCCACCTCCCCCGCCGCGTCCCGCGGGGGCCGCGCCCTCTCTGTGAAGACGAGCTCCGCTCAGGGCTGCTGCTTGGCTCCGGGAGGCCCCGTGTCCAGAGCGCCTTTACCCGGGAGCGGGTTCCCAGGAACAGCTTCGGGAACAGCGTGTCCTGGGCCAGTCCCGACCCCCAAGACCTTTTCCCTTGTCACTTTGTGGGCTCTTTGGCTCCTAACAGATTTTTTTTTTCCTTGTGGATTTCCAGGACAAAGCTCGGGAGAAGGGGTCACTTTCCAGCTTAGGACACAAATAAAGCAGGTCCATCCTATTTTTCAAATGGGAACTGTCGTTAGCTTCCCCCGCCAGCCTCGCGGGCCCCGCTCTCCCTGCCGGGCCCCTGTCCCGGGCTTTCAGGGAAGGCCACGGAAGGGTAGCTGCTTCTGCCAGCCCGGGTCCCCTGCTTAGGCAGGCACTCTGGGTGGCAGAAGCTTCCAGTCCTGCTGGAAAGGGCTGGGGACAGGGCCGGTGATTGCTCGTGACCGGCCTGATCCACCACAGCCCCTCTTTTACTCTCCAGGGAGCCCCTGGGACGGACCCGGGGGAAGGGGCAGGCAGGGCACAGGCGGTCGCCCTGGGTCAGAGCAGCGCCCTTCCCGGCCTGCCCCCCGCCCGTCCGCAGAGCCCGCTGCTCCTGGGCCAACCTCGGCCGCAGCCCCCTGAGGCCCCTAGGCAGCCCGGGCCTCTGGTGTCATTCCCTGGGACCTTGGCCGGAGCGTGTAAGTCCGCTGCCCTGACACCCCCAGACAGGGCCGAGAGCAGCTGCCCCCGGGGCAGGACCCGGCGAGGGGCCCGGACGGGGCCCCAGAGGCCTCCCTGCAGCCCAGGCACATGCACACACGCAGGGGCGTGCACACGCGTGTGCCCCTGCGGGCCCGGTGCTTGGCTGTCTGAGGCGAGCCTGAAGCTATTAGAGAGCAGGGCGGCTGCCCCGAGCCCGGGGGCGAGGTAGTTGTCTCAGAGGCTCGGGACACCTGGCTTCGCTCCATCGCCCCATTGGCCGGGCTTGGGAAGCAGCGTCTGTGGCCGGGGCATCCGCAGTCCCCAACCTTGTCCCTCTCGCAGCCGGGCAAAGGGCAGAACCGCGGCATGGCCCGCTCTCGAGTTTGCCGCGAGTGCCGTGTGGAGCAGCGACCCCCGAGTTCACGTTCCCCTGGAAGCCCCGGGGAGACCTCCTTCGGAAGCGGGGCCTTCACCGGTGGGATTAGTTCAGTGGAAATGAGGCCCCGCTGGCGGAGGGCGGGCCCTCAGCTCACTAAGGCTCGTGTCCTTCTAAGAACAGGGGGCACAAGGGCACACGGAGAGAAGACAGAGAGATGGCGAGATTGGTGCCACACAGCCACAGCTGCGGGCCAAGGGTCGCCAAGGAGCGCCCACAGGGACGAGGCCGGCAGTGGCGGGGGTGCTCCCCGAGGGCCGCAGAGGGAGCCCGGCCGCCCCCACCGGGGGCCTTCCTGCCTCTAGAGACGGAGAGAGTAAGTTCTGTTTTTTCAGCCGCCTGGTTTGTGCTAATTTGTTACCACAGCCCTAGGAAACTAAGACTTCACATTGTCTTGGAAGGTGGTTTGTTTTTATTTATGCATTTATTTATAATAAGGTTTCAATCATACTAACAATCCCAAAACCGCATACACCCCTGCACACAACCTTCTGCGCGGGCGTGCACACACACATGCACACACACGCACACAGGTGTGCACACACCCCACCTCAGGTCGCAAACGCAGGGCAAGGCGGGGCCCTGTCCTTGAAGCGGGCGCAGCCCCGAAGTGATTCGGGAAGGGCTCCGTGCTCCGCCTGGGGGAGGCCCCGCACTCTGTAGGCCCACGTGGGGCCCGCACCGCCCGCGGGGACCCGGGACGACGGGGCTGTCCCGGAGCCGGGGGCAGGGCAGAGGGATTCACCGAAATGACCAGGAAGCAGCCTCGGGGGGAGCAGGACCCACGGGCTCAGGGAGCGGGGACCTCTGACCATGCACCACGGGCAGCTCCTACGGGACGAACGCCGCCCCGGCCAGGCTGAGGCTGTTCTTACCTGTGGCACCGTTGTCCTCCAGCGCCAGTGTGAGGTCCTCCAGCTGCTTCCCGCCACCTCCCGCTCCTGAAACCTCCCGCGTCCCCAAGACTCAGGACACGGGGGCCTCAGCCAGAAGCAGCTCCTCCAGGCATCTGTCCTGGAGCCCAAGTCGTAACTCCCCTGTGCCATCCGCTTCCTGGGGAGAAGCAGGGACAACCGGGGACAATCGCCCCTCCAGCCTGATCTCAGGCTGAGCATCCGACAGGTACGGGGGGCCCTGCGGTCAGGGCCCTGGAAGCCCTGTGCTCCCCGAGGCGACCGCTGCAGCGAGCCCACCTGCGTGCCTTTCCCCACCTGATGGGGCGGGGGACCCCTGGTGGGCCTGGCATGCTGGTGCGGAGGAGCCCAGGGTGTAATGGCCTTGGGGACTGTCTGTCCTGGGGCTGAGGGAGAGGCCGCCACTGGGGGTGGGAAGGGGCAGGTCCCGGGCTGGAGGGATCTCAGGGGGTGGTCTCAGCTTAGAGGACCTCTGGGAGGGACAGCATGGGAGATCTCTTTGGGGATCTAGAACTTTCTAGAAGCCTGTCTACATGTGGGGCTGTGGGAAGAATCACAAACGGGGAAGCAGTGCTGGCTGGGGTGCTGACTGATGGGCCGGGGAAATAGGGGGTGAAGCCCTAGGGGACAGAGTGGTGGCGGGGGCCTGGGCCTGAGGGCTGGGAAGCGTCCTTGGGCGGGGGGGGGGCTCAGGAAAACGGAGCACACCTGGCCTCGTCGCGCTGTGAACTGCAGACACGGTGGCAGGATGGGCCGGGCCGCAGAGTCCCCTGGGGGCACCTTCAGTGCACACACAGGCTCGTCACCATCGTCTCCCAGCAACGGTCCCCCCAACACCCGCCAGAGGAAGATGGAGTCTCAAGGGTCTAGTGCTCCCCCCCCTTCCACTGCCCGAGACCCACACCCAGAAATAAGGACGCGGCCCAAATTTGAGGACATCCTTTTAATCACGAACTACTCATACTACACATCCAGAGGCGGGAACAGAGCCGAGGGTGGTTCACACACTCACTGGAGCCCTCCCCAGGGGTAATTACAGTGGTGTCCCGCTCCCCCCGGCCCCGGGCCCCTGGGCTAGGGTGGCCTCTGCCTCCTGCTGCTAATGCCTGCGCCACCCCGACTCCGGAACCCTGTTCGCTGATCTCAGGCAGAGGGCGGGGGCTCGGGGCCGCACGGCTGTCAGGCCCCAGGACGCCGCCCCCAGGCCAGGCCCAGGGCTTCCGGCCTCCCCGCCTGCCCGCAGCCTCCGTGTGGGGCAGCTCCCCGGCCCGGCCTACACGATGCCTTCCGTGCGCTTGCTCCTCCAGACCACCAGCCCGGTCATGAGCAGGGTCACCAGGATGGGCACCGCAATCAAGGGGCAGAGGATGTTGCCTGGCGGGTCCTTCACGGCCCTGCCGGAGACTGGGCAGCTCTTGAAGTACTGCTGGTGGACGGCGACGAAGAACTTGTCTACCGCGGCGTTTGGCCAGAAGCAGCCGAGCTCTTTCATCACGTGCTTGGTGCAGTCTGTGAGCTCTCCATAGCGCCTGCAGGCAGACAAGCAGGCCATCAGTCCCTGCGCGGGCTGGGGACTAAGGTGGGGCCTGAGCGGGGGGCTCTCCACCCTGTTCCCCTTTCCTGAGCATCTCCTGAAGCCCAGGCCCCGGGCAGTGGCCCTGAGTCTAGAGGGCGAAGGTCCTGGGGGGCTCCTGTGGGGGCTCCCCACGTGTCCTGCACGTTCCAGATCCCAGAAGGTGAGCTGGGGCGAAGGGGCAGCCCTCTCTGCTCTAGAGATCTAGCAGCTGGGACGCCACACTCAAGGCAGACTAGAGGTGGCGTAGCCAAGCATCTTCAGACGTCAGCCTGTGGCAACAAGCCCTCTGGTGGGCAAATCCGCAGCCCATTCTGAAGAATGAGTGAACTTGAAGACAGGTTGGTAGAAATGACCCCAACTGGAACGCTAGGAGAAAGGAGCTGCGGGAAATTAATGACAGTGTCAATGATATCAACTCGAACTTGTCACCTGAGTCCCAGAAGGAGAAGAGGGAATGGGGGAGATGAGATATTTGAAGAGATACATGACTGAGAATTTTCCCAAAATAATGAGACATCAATTCACAAACCCGAGAAGGTCAAAGTACCCCAAGCAGGACAAAAACCAAAGTAACAGTCACAACAAACAAACAGCCACACAGACGTGTCAAAGTCAAACTCTGAAAACCAAAGCTAAAGAAAAATAAAATCTTGGTGTCAGAGAAAAGCCCCTTCTGCGGAGCCACGGTATCAGTTACAGCTGACTTCTCACCGGAGACTATGCAGGCCCGCCGACGATGGGGAGGTATCTTTAAAGTGTTGCTGGGCCTGATGGGGGAACAAACCATCTGCCCAGAATCCTGCACCCGGCAAAAAATATCTCCCCCATGTGAGGTTGAAATAAAGACCTTTTCAGAGAAAAACGAGCTGGGACAATTCATTGTGCAACAAGTAAAGTTCTTCAGTCAAAAAAATAGAACAAAAAGAATTTTGGACCCACATGAAGAAATGAAGAGCTATGAAGAGCTAAACAGTAAAAATGAAGATATTTAGAAGACACTTTTTTTTTTTTTTTAAATCTAGAAAGCAACTAAATGGAGCAGAAGCCACACATCAATGCGGGAGAGACACAGCGGGGCTCCCAGAGGCCCCGTCCCCCAGCCGCTCTCTGACGGCCTCTGAGTCACGAGGTCTGATTCTGTCCACCTGGCTGCTCTCTGGGTCGTCGCCCCACGTGCAGAGGGCACAGGGGGCCTCCCTGCAAGGCCAGGAGCAGGGGGCACGGGAGGGAGAGGGTGTGCAGGACGGGCGCCCACTGGGTGCGTGCTTTCCCCAAGGGCACAAGGACTCATGTTTCAGGTAGAAAACCGAAGTGGAAAAGCCGCAGAAATCCTGGTGGGCTGGGTCTCACTGTGAGAAAAAATGAGTCAGCTCACGTCCAGCACCTGGCGCGTGGTGAGAAACGTGTCAGCTGCTGTTAAAAGCCGAAGTCCGGCCCTTTGCCCGGTTGCCGACCAACCGCACGGCTACGTGCTACGGATGCTGGTTTGCGTGGCTCTCATCTCCTGGCCTCAGACCCACCGAGCCCATGGGGAGTTGGTGGCATTCGGCAGACCCAGTGACAGTCGATCCTAAACATTGTGCCCCCGCCCTCTGTGCAGGAAGAGTGAGCTGGGGCGTCCCTAGAAGGAGCTGCCGCCGCCTCCGGACGGGGAGCGGCCCCCGGCCCCGGAGGCTGTGAGCCCGCAACCCCGGGCCGAGGCCCCGCCAGGCGGAGCCCGCTCTGTGGAGGCTATTCTGGGATCCAGCGCTCGCTCCCTGAAATGCTATCCTTTAGCCGGCAAAGCCACCCCCGTCTAAAAATAGCCCCAGTGTGCAGTCGGGCCTCTTCATCTGTTTATTTATACAGACGTGACAGCTGAAACTTGGAATAAATATTGCGAGCTCTGTCAGCGGGAGGGCAAGGAAGGAATTCCGACAGAGCACAGGCCCGGCCGACCAAGGGGCCCAAATCACCGTGAAGAACATCCTCACTAACTCCCTCTCGCCAGTTCTCATGGAACCAAGCAGTCACCCTTTTTGGGCCAGAACTTTCCAGTCTCGGCCCCTGCGCAGACCTTGCCGGGAATGCTCTCGGCCACCGCGGCGGGGTTTCCTGTGCAGCCCGGGCCCGAGCGCCGGCCCCGCACCCTGACCCCTGGCCGCGCGCTTTTGACGCGGCGCAGCCCACTAACGCCCACAGGCCCCGCGGCCCTCGCGGTGGCTGTTGTCCCCCGGCTGCTGTGACTGCCCCTGGTGTGGAGCCTCTGGGCCTGGGCCTGCCCCCCCACGGGTCTCGGTTCAAGTCCCAGGCCCACCTCTTACCGCGGGGGGTGCTGGGCGCCTGATCTCCCCTGTGCCAGCCCCGGTCTCCTCACACCCACAGGGCGACCTGGGCCGCCACCTGGCAGGGCTCCGGGGCACACCTAGCTCACCGGGGACAAGGGCCTAACATACTGCAGGCGCCCAGGAGGGAGACTTTTCCTCACTGCCTCCTCCCAGCAACCGGTGTGGGGCTCAAGGCGGATACATGTCCTGTCCTATAAACTCACCAGCGTTGACCAGGCAACGCGTGTCAGCCCTGGAGAACCCCAGGACAAACCACTTAGGGTTTTGGCTCCTTTCCTCTGACCAGTACTGGCCTCCGTCCGCCTGGGACAATTCTCACCCTGGTGGCTTCCACCAGCTGTAAGCACCCGCCGGGGGTGGGGCGGGTGGCACACCTGGTGTCGTGGCGGCCAAGCAGGGGTGGGTGACAGTGGCCCACATGAGGCTGGCCCGGGCGTCTGTCACACGCCAGACTGACGCGGGGGGCGGGGGGCACCGCCAGAGAGAGGAGCGGGGCGAGCGTGGGTGCGAGACGCGGAGGGACACCCATGACACCTTTGGCTAAGTAGTTCTTCTGCAAATACAAAGGATACTGCAAATAATCAGTATCTGGGAAAAAAAGTTTCACCTCACTGTTAGGAATAAGAGGCAAACACCCCAACAGAACCCATTCTAACCATAAGCATGCTCGCCCAGGGACATGTCATGAAAGGGGCCAGGCGCTCCTATCAGGGCTAACAGGCGGTACAGGGGGCCCTGGCCGGGTGGCTCCATGGGTTGGCGCATCATCCCGGCAGACACTAAGGTCGCCGGTTCGATTCCCGGTCAGGGCACACACAGGAATCAACCGACGAATGCATCAATCAGGGGAACACCAAATCGATGCTTCTCTCTCCCTTTCTCTCCTGCCCTCTCTCTCTAAAAATAAAATGAAAAAAAAAAAAAAGAAGATAAGTTGGTAACATTTTTCTGAAAAGCAATTTGGCAATCTGTATCAATAACCTGAAAATCATAGATACCCTTTGACCCAGAGGATGGTGTCCGTTCGAGGACGGACAGGTTTACGGGAGTCGGGCAGACATGTTCACAGAGCCATGGGGATGCCTGACGTGTTCATGGGTGGGTGATCCACGTGCGCTGCAGCGTGTCTCCTGCCCCCTGGGGGAAATCCCAGCTCCCTTACACACAGAAGACAGAGCCGGCAGGAGGCCAGGCTATCGCCTGACACAGCGAGGCGTGGCGCGTGCGAGCCCAATCCGTGTTTTGGGAACCGCTGACCGGACCCAGCCTCGGGGCCACGAGACCACGGCTGGCCTCGGTTCCCCAGACGTCCGGGCGGGGGCGCCGGGCTGCCTCCGTTTACCCCCCACCCAGTAGTTCCATTTCTGGGTCGACCGCCTCAGTTAATGACATGAAGGCAGATGGAAGTAACGTGAGAAGGGGCTCAGGGTGCATCTGTAATTACGAAAAACAGTGAACTATGGGAAACACGGAAAGAAATTGCTTGTAAGAACCTCTGCTGTGTACCTATTAAAATGATACATAGAAAGGAAGTTTTAAGATGTGGGGAAACATTTGTGTGTTAATGTTGCGCAAAAGCACAGCCAATGAGACCCAACTGTGTGAGTGCTGTGGTCTCAGCATGTGGGGCGGGGCGGGGGGACACGCTGCAAGGCTAGAGGGGCTGTCGCCGCTCGAGGGGCGTGATATGAGGGACTTTTGTCCTCTGCCTTTCCGGAGGGTTTCCCGAGTTCTCTGCAGTGAGCACGCATGATGTTTATAATTATGTTCAGAGAAGCTTGTTTGGAAAAAGCCCGCTGCAGACTGGACGTGGATGCCCCTGCACTTGCTGCCGCGCAGGAGGGCTCCTCGCCTCCAGCCTGGGACGGCAGGCCTGCCCCCCCCGGGCCGGGGTCGGCTACGCAGAGCCCCCCAGCAGGGGGAGCGCCAGGTGCCGGGATGGTGGGGCCCGGAGGCCCTGCCGCCCGGCAGGCCTCCCTGCGCCCACTGGCCGGCCAGCCAGGGGCTGCGAGTCCCGGGGGGCCCCTGCCCTGGTTCCCGGGAGCCCGCAGATTTGGCGCCTCGGAGCGGGCAGCCGGCGCACGGCGCGCCTTCCTTCTGCTCGCCTATCTCTGCCCCCAGCCTGGAGAGGAGAACCCTGTCCCAGGGCCAGGGCAGCGTCCCCCCACCGTGGGGACATCCGACCCTGCCCCCGCTTCCAAGCACCGCAGGCTCTCCCGGGACGGGATGACGCGGGGGCGCTCAGCTGGCTGTGCTGCTCCTGGCGCACAAGGCTGGGGGCAGGGCCCCTCCAAGGGTGGAGCGCGGGGCACGCGCGGGCCACACTCCTGGAGGGCGGCAGGAAGGCCCCTGCTCTGCAGATGCCCCCGGGGCCCGGGGAAGGCCGGCGGCTCCGCTCCAGCACTCTTGGTCCCCACCCCCAGCCAGGGACAAGGACCCAGCCTCTCAGGTCTCCCCGCCTGCATGGAGTGGGCATTGCTGCGGACCCTCTGGGACGCTGCAGGGCGGACGCGCCGTCCTGGAGGGGCGCCCGGACCAGGGGCCAAGAGGTTGGGGTTGGGCCCCGAGGGCAGGGACCCCTTTGTGCCTTGTCCAGGAGCCGCAGGCTCTCCCCCACCCCGCAGTC